GGAGAAAGAGACTTGGTTGAGGCAGGTTTCAAACCTCCAGCACCAGCCTAGATAAAGAAGTACCAGACGTGAGAAGCGAAGACAAGATATGAACAAATAGGATTTCGAGAAGCACTTAGACACAGGGTATACCTTAGTTTCCCCATCAGCAGGACTCGAATTTTCGCTCTCGATAGGGACGATGGTTGGAATCGAGGCACCTTCAACAAGATGCCTCGGCGTGAACAGGGGTGGTTAACTTTGGAGTCTTGACCATCGAAGGGGCAGGTGGGGTGCTAACAGTATCCATCCCTTGACTGAATTTCCGCCTCTTCTTCAGTTGTAAATCTTCAGGAGGAGATTCGTCATCATCCTCTGAGTCAATAATTATTTGGGCGGAAGCCCTCTTAAGTTTCTTTTGAGGTGTGGGTGGCTTGCGAGTCACCTAAGACATTAAGAAATATTAGAAGCATCCAAGAGAGTTAAACCCACAAAGGCCTATAGAAAATTACCTTATGCCCTTCAACTTTGCCTTTAGTTCTTGGTAGAGGAGCACTCCTTTTAGGGGAAGCTGCAAAACAAATCACATTGCTACCAGTTAGTAACAAAAAGTTCAGTTAAAAGAGTCCAAATCAAAGGGGGATGACCTTCAAGAATTTCAAATTCGATGCGAACATATTCGATACCAACATGAAGGTGCCCTTTGAAAGTATCGAGCGTATGTTTAGTCGGAACCACCCGTTGTGCTTTCGGTTTTGACTGTTGTCGAAGGATTTTTATAGAATCTCCACAGATAAACCAATCTGGAAATGGGGGGCAAGGGCCACTCCAAAATCAGCAGTTGGCAATTGAGAGATCTTTGGAGGAAATAAAGCAAAAGCTACCTCATATCGTTTCTCACGAGGAACGTATGAAGGGATTTTCAGATTCTCCAATTTCTTTGAAAAAATTTCCTTCAAAGCGACAGCAGCCTCACAGATGGTTCGACTAACATCATCTGGTCGATAGGAGGTTTCAAAGTACTTTTGGAAGGCTTGAATCTCTTTGATATGTGTAGATGTACCTTTCTTGATCTTCTCCTGCAGATCAATGAAAGCCTGGTCAATCAAGCGAACAAAGCTTGAAACGTCAAGAAATTCAGAGGTATAGTGTCTGGACCACTAGTTGTAGAATTCTTGGGAGCAGAAATAAGAAGGTTCAAAATGAATGGGTGTAAAGAGGGACTTGTGAGTGTGGCAAGCTAAGTGTGTTGAACATTCAATAGGGTTAAAAGCAGTGATGGGAAGAATAACATGGGCCTTATTATCATACAAGCATTTAGGCAAGGTCTGAATCAAACCAAATTGTCTTGATACTAGGTTAGGCTGATAGGCCACCAAAGATGCTTGGCCTCTGAGAAGGTTGAGCTTGTGAATCATCAGTCGAGGTGTCAGAAATCTCTCTCAGACAAGTTTCGACTCTTCTTCTTGTTTTTTAATCAAAGGAGGGAAGGGTTTGGTAAACCACTCAGGACCATGCTTCCTCTCTGCAAATGGATCCATCCTCAGAGTAAACTCATGATGCTTTGCGAACATTTGAATGAAACCTGAAAGGTTGGATCTGAGCGTATGTCCCTCCTCACTTGGGGTAAGTTGAACCAGTCGAGTCCATTTGACTCGTCTTTCTGTAACAACAGTAGACTCTTCATCAACTTCTCCTTTGTTTGGGAGGCTGGTTTCGAAAGTGGGGTTGAGCCACAATAAAGTAACCAGAAAGGGCCTGATAATAACAGGTTCCCGCGACTTTCCTTGTCCTTCAGCCTGTCAGCGCCTTTGCTGAGGGATTCGTTCAGATTGGCCAGGATCATCTCAATCAGACAAAGGCCTCGATTCAGATGCAGTTGATTGGCCAATGTGAGGTACTTCCGCGCCACCTGCAAAGATTTCGTACAGAAAACACAGCGAGATAGTCACATGGCTAGAAAAGCTATATGTTCTTCATCATCGACGGTGGTTATGTTTTTATTATGGTAGTGATTGATCAAATAGGTATAAGTGTGTTTTGTGTTGGAAAATCTTATGGTGTCTTGGCAATCTACCTCAGGGTCATAAACCAGTCCATGGGGTTTCAGCCCTGTGATAGTGGTTATGTCGAACAGTGTTGGTGTCACCATCCCACATAGGAGATGGAAGGTATAATGGGTATTGTCCCAGAAGTACAATGAGGAAGCTAGCATGAGAGAGTAGTAAGTGGGGCCGACCTTCGACGTCATGATCAAATCGTAGATGCCAGCTTCTTTCCAGTCGTGGGCCTTGACTTTCTCCATCTTCGTCAGTCAATTTAAATAAAGATCAGAATCTTTGAAGTAGGGGGTGGCTCTGAATAACCTGGCTCCATCATTGAGGTATTTTAGGTCTACATTATAGAGGGCTAAACTATTTGGGCCTTCAGTAGGAAGTTTGCTGGAACCGTTTTTCCCTAAGGGTTTGGTCTTACGGTAGGAAGGAAAAAACTCACTAAGATTGGAATAGCTGAGACCCAATGGCGACAACGGACCAGACATAGCTAAAGGTTTATCTGCAACAGTAACAGGAATTATTACCTATGATTCATATATGTGTCTCTTCTCTTCTAGTAGGTGTTCAGGGATGAACTGTTGATTCTTCACTATTTTTGGCCCACTCAATGTGGTGAAAGGAGGAAGGAGTGGTGCAGCTGATTGTCCTTTGATTTGTGTCTTCTTCTTTTGAGCATGGTTTCCAGCCATAGATGATGCCATTGATGAAGTTCGGGGAGGAAATGGGTTTTTGAGAGTTAGAAGATGTCTGGAAAAAATACGTGAGTATTTGTTAAAGAGTAGAAAAGTTGGAAATGATTTTTGAAGAACTATTTATAGGATATTTGGAGATCAAAAGTCTTTTTTTCATCATTAGTGGCTAGAGATAATGGGCCACGTGTTGTCCCAAGATACAGAGATGGGACGGTGGCAGTTACTACCTATACCCATGATTGTCTTAGGCCTTAAAAAGGATGATGATGGTCTGAGAATTTTTGTGAGTTCCAAGAAATCTGCCATAATGACCCATGACGTCAGTGACGTGCACGGGGATAGCAGAACAATTTCCTGCTTTTTCTTTCTTTTTTCTTCTCTTGTCTTCCCAGACTCAGGTAGTCAATCACATTGATGCTTGTGTGAAATTCGAAACGACAGCGTCGAATTGGACGCTGTCAAAAAATGGTTCTTTTTCTACATAAAGGTCGAAAAAGACATTTTTGGGGGGCAATTTGTTAGCTCACAAATTCGACGCCTCATGTATATATGGATTAAAATATTTAAATGAAATATTAAAGTCTTTTGAGAGAGAAAGAGGTTTTTGAAGCCCTTAGACCTTCGATTGGAAAGTCAAAAGTTGTGGAACTTAGAGAAAATTCTGAACCTTAAAGAAAGTAGCCTTCGACCTAGATGCTGGCTGGAGATTAGTGATGTTTTTGAAATTCAAATAATGGAGGGAGTAGCTATGCTTTCCTATGACTAAGAGGGACAAGTGGCGTTCGTTTGGCAAATGACTTCATGCATTGTGACACTTGTCGGAAGATGATGGCCTTAGGAGGTTATTGGTAATTATTTTTACTATTATAAATAGGAATCTTAGACATAGAATTCAGTGTGTTGTGATTTGCTATTTGTACAAGTCACTCCTAAATTTACTCAAAGTATTCGAGTGTAGAGAAAAGAGTTCAAGGAGAATGTACGTTATGTAAACACATCATCTTTACTTTCAATGAAGTTTAATTTACTTGTTTAACTTTACAAAGTTTTCCTTTACTGTTTTCCTACAATCTACCTCCTTCTATGCACTTTACTTTATCTTCGTCCTAAATCTCTTTCTAAGATCTCTATCTCTTTCCTTCTAAATTTATATTTTCTCTTTCGTTCCAGTCGAACAAATCCCTTTCTGATTAAAGCCTTTTTTTCTAAACATTGTCGAAGTGTGTAACTTAGATAGATTTCAAACACAAACCTTTAGCACATGTCCTAGGATCAATCTGATCGATCCTGTGAGTCACCAAAGTTAGATTTGAAAGATCAACGATTGTTTTTCATTTTTCAAGGAAAACACGGAGACAGCGTCATAGGACAGGGGGCTGAGGAGGCTGAGGAGCTCTAGTCTGGGATGTGCAGTAGTTGATAGTATTTGTACTTTGGAGTTATTATCGATTGTATTGTATTTTGACTTATTTCGACTATATTGTGTATTTCGACTTCATTGTGTATCGGTTGATGACTTATTTTGACCATCTGAATTTATGTCATATTTTCATTATTGATTTTATGGTTTAATTTTCATCACATAACATGGGTCTTAACATTTATTGATTGTATGATTTAATCGTCATTTTCATTTGAGTAACTATAAAATTAACTCTACTTACACTGTTTTGATAGGTCGTGGAGATGCATCTTCGTAAATCCTAAATAGAAATGCATCTCCAGATTAATAAATGTTTAAAATGGACCTTTCAGAGAGGGATGCATGCAAATTGTTTTGAAAATTTTCGAAAATATATTTTCGAATCAGTTAATGATTAGACTTAAGACAAGGTGCGTTCAAAAATGGATCTCCAAAATTTAAAAGACATTTTGAGTTTTTCATAATGATTTGAGTTACGATAAAGTGCGTTCCAAAATGAATCTCCAAAATTTAAAAGACATTTTGAGTTTTTCATTTTTATGGCCATTCTCATTATGAATGAGTGGCAAGCACTGTCAGGAACAAAAGCTGGAATCTAAAAGCAAACTGATATTGGATCTAGACTCTCTGGATTCATCAAAACCCAAGGTTGTTTCAATCAACACATCTCTACCATTGAATTGAGATCGAATGGCTCATACGATCGGCTCGCATATTTGAAAGCCTAAACCTCTGATTCTGCAGGTACATTGATCTCACCCTATTCTGTATCCTAATTTACAAGGCATCTTACACCAGTAACAGAAATGTGAATGGAAAACATGTTCGCTATTGAATTCTTCAAATGATTTACCAGAAACCTCGGCAAGAACATAAACCATCCTTGAAATGGTGAAACCGGTTTGAATCTCTCAATAAAATTTCCCTCTTGGTTGTCTTGGACATGAATTTCCCCATCTCATGACAATCTCTGCATACTCTTCGATTCTTCGTGACCCTAACAGTTCTCCCAGACGGCAAATTTAATATACCAAAAGCCATTGCTAACTTTTCACTGTGTCCACACTGAATCACTTCCTTCTCCATGTCATCTTCATTAATCAACTTAATAGAGTAATCTCCATTTTTCATTTGCAAACTCAATTTTCTCAGCAACGCGTCTATCCTTTTTGCCTGAGGGTGTTTAGTGTTCCCGGCATCAAAGATATTCAACTTTCCTCCGACCTCTATCCAACTACAACCTGGATCCTGTTTGAATCTTCTATTACGCAACTTTTCTTGCAACCTTTTCACTTCTTCCCACTTTTCTGCCTCTGCATAGACATTCGCTAGAACAACATAATACATTGTGTTGTCTGGCTCTAGCTCAAAAAGATGTTCGGCTACTTTTTCTGCTAGCTTCACATCATGATGGATCCTGCATCCGGAAAGCAATGCACCCCAAATTGTAGCATCTGGTTCAATTGGCATGGACTCAATGAACTTGTACGCCTTTGATAGATTTCCTGCGCGGGAAAGGAGATCCACCATGCAGGCATAGTGCTCTAACTTTGGTTCGATACCGCATTCATTTCTCATAAAGTTAAAGAATCTCCAACCCTCGTGCAGTAATTCAGAATGACTGCAAGCATTAAGTATGGCGGCAAAGGAGGACTCGTCAGGCTCGATACCTGCAATCCTCATCTTGTTGAATGTGGAAATCGCCTCATTCCCAAATCCGTGCATGCTGTATCCAGCTATCATAACAGTCCATGAAATCAGATCCTTTTGAGGAATCATATCAAAAAGTAACCGTGCTAGAACAAGTAACCCACATTTGGCATACATATCAACAAGTGCACAAGCTGCACGCAAATCTGAAAAGTACCCTCTTCTTAATATGTGCCCATGTATCTCTCTTCCTTTGTCTAGAGCTGCTAAGCCTGCGCAAGCTGGAAGGACACAAGCCATTGTAATGTCGTCTGGTTTTAACTGCTTTTGCATGTCCGAAAAGAGTTCTAGAGCTTCATTGGGAAGTGAATTTTGCGAATAACATCCAATCATTGTATTCCACGAAACAATGTCCTTAGCTAGAGTATGAGAGAAAACTAACCGAGCTTCTTCCACACTTCCACATTTTGCATACATGTTCATGAGAGCATTAGCGACAGGCAAATTCGATCCCATGCCACTCTTTATAATGCAACTGTGTACAACTTCCTCATCAAAACAAGCTTTCACTCCAAAAGCATGAAGAGCTCTACCAAACGAAAGGTTGCCAATATTTGCAGAAGCCTCTAGAACACTAACCAATGTGATCAAATCCCAATTAACTCCCATAACCAACATCTCAACGAAAATCTCAAGTCCATTTCCGGATAAATCATTCACAATACAGCCATTTATCATAGAAGTCCATGAAATTACATCTCTATCAGTCAATTCATAAAACAGATTTTGTGCACTCTCAACATCACCGAATCTAAAATAAGCTGCAATCATCGAGTTAACAACAGCAGTATTAGAACCAAAACCAAGTTTCACAATATACCCATGAACCCTTCTACACTCCTCAAACTTTCCCAATTCAGCAAAACAATTGAACACACAAGTAAACGTATACGATTCCCCTAAAACTCCCATCTTCTGCATTTTCTTAAAAAGACTCAGACTTCCTTTATAATAACCAATCTTTGCATATTCAGACATCATAAAATTCCAAAGATAAACCTTATCATTAAGAATCTCATCAAATATTTGTCTCGCATTAACCAAATCACCACATTTCCCATACATGAAAAGTAACCTATTGTTAAACCAAAATTCCTCACCATAATAAGCTTTTACTCCAAAAGCATGAAGAGCTCTACCAATCGAAAGGTTGCCAATATTTGCAGAAGCATCAAGAACACTAACCAATGTGGTCAAATCCCAATTAATTCCCATAACCAACATCTCAACGAAAATCTCAATTCCATTTCCAGATAAACCATTCATAATACAGCCATTTATCATAGAATTCCATGAAAAAACATCTCTATCAGTCAATTCATCAAATAGATTACATGCACTCTCAACTTCACCAAATTTAAAATAAGCCACAATCATCGAGTTAACAACAGCAGTATTAGAACCAAAACCAAGTTTCAAAATATACCCATGAACCATTTTACACTCCTCAACCTTTCCCAATTCAGCAAAACACTTGAACACACAAGTAAACATATAAGAATCCCCTGAAACTCCCATCATCTGCATTTTCTTAAAAAGACTCAAACTTCCTCTATAATCACGAATCTTTGAATACATGTAAAGTAACCTATTGTTAAACCAAAATTCCTCACCAAAACAAGCTTTCACTCCAAATGCATGCAGAGCTCTACCAATCGAAAGGTTGCCAATATTTGCAGAAGCATCAAGAACACTAACCAATGTGTTCAAATCCCAATTAACCCCCATAACCAGCATCTGAACGAAAATCTCAACTACATTTTTGGAGATACCATTCATAATACAGCCATTTATCATATAACTCCATGAAAAAACATCTCTATCAGTCAATTCATCAAATAGATTACATGCACTCTCAACTTCACCGAATTTAAAATAAGCCATAATCATCCAGTTAACAACAGCGGTATTAGAACCAAAACCAAGTTTCAAAATATACCCATGAACCCTTTTACACTCCTCAACCTTTCCCAATTCAGCAAAACACTTGAACACACAAGTAAACATATAAGAATTCCCTGAAACTCCCATCATCTGCATTTTCTTAAAAAGACTCAAACTTCCTCTATAATCACGAATCTTTGAATACATGGAAAGTAACCTATAGTTAAACCAAAATTCCTCACCATAACGAGCTTTTACTCCAAAAGCATGAAGAGCTCTACCAATCGAAAGGTTGCCAATATTTGCAGAAGCATCAAGAACACTAACCAATATGGTCAAATCCCAATTAATTCCCATAACCAACATCTCAATGAAAATCTCAAGTCCATTTCCGGATAAACCATTCATAATACAGCCATTTATCATAGAATTCCATGAAAAAACATCTCTATCAGTCAATTCATCAAATAGATTACATGCACTCTCAACTTCACCGAATTTAAAATAAGCCACAATCATCGAGTTAACAACAGCGGTATTAGATCCAAAACCAAGTTTCAAAATATACCCATGAACCCTTTTACACTCCTCAAGCTTTCCCAATTCAGCAAAACACTTGAACGCACAACAAAACATATCAGAATCCCCTAAAACTCCCATCATCTGCATTTTCTTAAAAAGACTCAAACTTCCTCTATAATCACGAATCTTTGAATACATGTAAAGTAACCTATTGTTAAACCAAAATTCCTCACCAAAACAAGCTTTCACTCCAAAAGCATGAAGAGCTCTACCAATCGAAAGGTTGCCAATATTTGCAGAAGCATCAAGAACACTAACCAATGTGTTCAAATCCCAATTAACCCCCATAACCAGCATCTGAACGAAAATCTCAACTACATTTTTTGAAAAACCATTCACAGCACACTCACTTATCACAGAATTCCATGAAACTACATCTCTATCAGTCAATTCATCAAACAGATTAAGTGCACTCTCAACTTCACCGAATTTAAAATAAGCTGCAATCATCGAGGTAACAACAGCAGTATTAGAACCAAAACCAAGTTTCAAAATATACTCATGAACCCTTTTACACTCCTTAACCTTTCTCAATGCAGCAAAACACTTCAACACACAAGTAAATGTATTAGAATCCCCTGAAACTCCCATCTTCTGCATTTTCTTAAAAAGACTCAGACTTTCTCTATAATAACCACTCTTTGCATATTCAGACATCATAAAATTCCAAAGAGAAACCTTATCATTAAGAATCTCATCAAATATTTGTCTCGCATTAACCAAATCACCACCAATCGCATACATGTAAAGTAACTCATTGTTAAACCAAAATTCCTCACCATAACAAGCTTTTACTCCAAAAGCATGAAGAGCTCTACCAAACGAAAGGTTGCCAATATTTGTAGAAGCATCAAGAACACTAACCAATGTGGTCAAATTCCAATTAACTCCCATAACCAACATCTCAACGAAAATCTCAAGTCCATTTCCGAATAAACCCTTCACAACACAGCCACTTATCAAAGAATTCCATGAAACTACATCTCTATCAGTCAATTCATCAAACAGATTAAGTGCACTCTCAACTTCACCGAATTTAAAATAAGCTGCAATCATCGAGTTAACAACAGCAGTATTAGAACCAAAACCAAGTTTCAAAATATACCCCTGAACACTTTTACACTCCTTAACCTTTCTCAATTCAGCAAAACACTTCAACACACAAGTAAATGTATAAGAATCCCCTGAAACTCCCATCTTCTGCATTTTCTTAAAAAGACTCAGACTTTCTCTATAATAATCAATCTTTGCATATCCAGACATCATAAGATTCCAAAGAAAAACGTTATCATTAAGAATCTCATCAAATATCCCTCTCGCATTAACCAAATCACCACATTTCACATACATGAAAACTAGTTTAGCCCCTAAAACCTCATCAATCACCACGCCATTTGAAATGATAATGGAATGAACCCTTTTTCCATCTTCCAAAGAGTTCTTCTCAGCACAAAGCTGCAAAACGGAATAATAAGTACTCAACCCAATCTCGTGTCTTTGTGATGTTGTGAGCAATTCCATAGCGTTTCTGAGATTACCCATTTGACAGAAGTTGCAAATTTTGGCATTTTGGTTTTGGGTTACGCTGCGAGTGACAGTGGCGCGAGAATAAAAATCTAATCTGGAATATTGAAGACATGTTGTCCGAGGTTGTTTGAAGAAGATGAAACGGTTACGAGATTTGGAGTAATTTATGTGGTTTTTAGGGTTATGAGAAAGCGAAGAGGTGATTGAGATTGGTATGGTTTTCAGCATACTAGACATTGGTCTCTACTGCTTTCTATCCCGAACAGGAATCTGTTGCCGAGAGTTGAACCCGAGTCTCTCGGATGAGAGAGGTGTATCCTAATCAAATAGATTATAATTAGAGGTGAAAATAAATCAAGTAAGGTTTTGGCAAATTTAAGTTTGATAGGTTAAAAAATCTGAAGTTTAAGTTTCATCGGTAATTAATTTTTGATTTAATTTAGATTTGAGTCTGATCTATTTTAAAGTCTGATTAGTCTCTTAATTTATATAAATTTTTTTATTTAAAATAGATTAATAAATTAAAAAAATTAATAAAAATAAAAGTTTATTTATATTGACTTATTTTAACTTACTCATTCATTAGCATAAATTTTGTAAAGTTGTTGTTTAAAATAACTTTATAAAAATAATTTATAACATTAGTTTATAATATATTTTCATCTTATTTTCATAAGTTTTTTAAGACATTTGTTTATTTATGTATTTTAATTCAAATACAATACATAACATAATAATAATAAAAAAAATATATTCATATTTATTTAAATAAATCAGTCTGTAAGATTTAAAAGATTTTTTTGTATGGCTTAAAGCCCAAAGCCAAGTCTTTTTAATTAAATAGATTTATAAAAAAATATAAATATTTGTTATTTTAAAAGAAGTTTTGTTTAAAAAACTAGAACTATATGTCCATGTTATTGTCATGACCTATTTTCACCCTTAATTACAATATATGTTTATTTAATAGTTAATGTTTATTTATTGAATAAAGAAATGGAATACAATTTTTGTGAAGAATCAATGTTTTTGCCATGTTAAATCATGTTTGGTATCTTTTTAACATTTAGTGACTTGTTCTTCTAAAAGCTAGGGCTATCAAAAGCCACGGTCCACGTGTTGATTCTTCCATGTGGCTTGGCACAAAAAACATTATTTACGTCAGAGGTCTAAAGGGTCCCTTGTGGATCATTTTCTTATTCATGCTTAGCATCATATATGCAGCTAGAAGAGAGAACAAGTGTATATTTAGATTTCACCTTAACCATTGGTGGTTTAATTCTCTATTGATTTTGAAGTGTAATTAACTCTGTTTTTTATGCAAGTTTGTTATAACTTTTTGTATTTCTTTGTTGTTTTTTAGAATAGTTGAGATTATTTTTAAAAGCATGAAAAGACAAACTATCTCGTAAGGTAAAAATTTGTCACAATTTTTGACACGTTTAACTGTAGCTAACTTACACAAAACTTCTAAATATAGTGATAAGATGAAAATAGTTTGAATGTTAAAAATATAAGAAGACTTAGAAGTGACACCACCATTTAGTAGTATAGAACTTGATTGTTGAAATATTTTGTTAGAAAAAACTAATTTGTGTATAAACACCCCTTATAAGCTACATTAGAATCGTGGTCACAAATACAAGATGCAACCTTGTATTTCTCCTTGTTATTCGCTTCATACACATTAATATACATTTATATACACATTTACGGTTTGATATTAGTTCAAGGATATTAAATTTAAGCAACTTTAGCACAAAGATAGAACCTACTTTTCTAACGCCAGAGTAGGTTAGAAAATTTGCAATTTATGAAAAAACAAAAACAAAAAAAGGGGGAAATGTAAACATTGATGACAACCGTAAGACATTGGACATTGTTTCTGTTTGCTTGTTTTGAGGCAAATTATATATTGTTTTCTATACAACATCAAGTCACAAGCAAAATATCTTATTTTCTCTTCTCCCTAAATCAATCTATATTCAGAACATAGTAACCACTCCAATCCAAAGAATTCTTCACTAAGGAAGCAATCTTGCCATAACTTGCCAAGCCTGCTAACTTCCTTGAAGCTGGTTGGTTAATTGCGACGCAATGCGACTTCTTTAAATAAATATGTGCCACGAATCATTGATGTACTCATCGTATAGACAGGGAAGAATAGTGTTTGAATCCGAAGCTAGAACATTTTTACACGAAAGAACCATGGTAGAACAAAACCTATTACCAGGCATGCCATTAAGAAGTTGCAGAACGGTTGCCCGCGCCAGCATCCAACCAACCCGCGGTGTGAGGTACTAGTGCTGCCACTGTCGATGAATCCACTTTCACACCATTCTTCCATAAATCCATTATTAATAACATCGGGAACATTCTTTGCAGTCTCACCGCATATTTCGCATAACCTGTGTGATCAGATGGTACATGAAGATGCTAAAAGAACTAAGGAAGCTCAAGATTGATAACAATGACATTGTGAATTCAAAGTATAAGCACACGACATCACGAACTAGAAATAAACAGATATTAAGAAAGGTAAAATTTACTACCTGTTTCCTTTAATCTTGAACCATGCCTCAGCGCACTGACTGTGCGCAATTCCTAGCTCATCTTTACATGCACAACCAAGCATAATCAAACCTGTTTTATCATCAGCACTATTTGGAGTTCCAACAGCAGTTTCTTCTAATGGTTGCCCAGATGCCAGATGGCAAATCCTACAAATCGTTTCACCATCCAAATTCTCACTAAAATCTTTGCCGTTGCCACAATTCACATCAATCACACACGAATTTTTATCAGTCTCAGACACACCTTTCGGTGCTTTAATCGATAGCTTGTTCAACCCTGATTCTTTAGTTTTAGCTTCTAATTTTCGGCTATCTCCTTCGACAGCCTCAACTTGAGCAGAAGAATCTATTACAACACAGGTCTCACGTGCTTCCCCATTAACCAAATCACTTGAATTATAACTAGTCCCTTGATCAAACCCGCGCAAATCATCGTCGATTTTTCCAGGATCACCACCAACATTCTCATTCTGACCCTTAACTTCTAAAGGTCTCTCCTTTAGCTCCTCATTCAATCCAAGATCATCGCATACACTAACCCTACCACCCAAGCTATGTCCAGCTCCTGCATCAATTGCAACTCCTTCACCTAACCGACTCGATTTCTCATTAACCCCTTCATCAACATGATCCAACATTTCACTGTCTTTGCTTGTTGCCTGATCCATAACACCAATTAATTCCTTCGAATAAATATATCCAAACTCAACAAATTCCAATAACACAATAATCATACAGTCACAAACTCAACAAATTGAAAAGAAAAAAAAAACATTTTTTCCATCCAAGGGAATAACAATGTGATCAAATGAAAGGTAGAGAAAGTCCAAACATCTCACCGACCCATTTCATGGTTTAAGACAGAATCTACATACATAGTTACAAAATCATCAACAAAAGAAAGGGCTATCACAAAAAGCAAAGAATTACCTGAAAATATACAAATTCTAGAGAGAAAAAAACTGAATCTGGGTATGTTTGAATCGAAGCAGAAGATGTTGTTGGAAAGAGTGCTCAATAATATGAATTTAGATTGAAGAGTGGCAACGTTAGGTGAAGAAAGTAAGTGGGAAATGGTGAGAAAATGAGAAAAAAAAATACAAGAGATTGAGTGCATTTGAAATGTTTGATAGAATGAGTAAGAGAGAGTGAATAAAGCAAAGGATAAGAAATTGAGGGTTTGTCTTTATTCTATTCTTTTACATATAAAACCCTTTTACTTTTACATAATCATGTAAGCAAAATATATGTATATTCCATTCTTTTCCATAAAACAAGATTATTATAAAAACAAAACATGAAAATTACTATAATTAAAGACAAAAGAGAAGTGAATCTTTATCAATTTATAACTATTAACATTAAGGCAAAATTATTGTTTACTTATTTTAAAATATCAAAATTAGTTTTTTAAATTTTTTTATTAATATTTTGATCTTTTATTAAAAATCTTTGTTATAATAAAATATAAATTCATATATCATTTGAGCTGGTTTTTCGCGCTGATCACGAATATATAATTAGTTTTGCATTTGATTGTGTATTTTAGACTGATTGATGATTTTTCTTTATGTATTTCGTTCATTTTTACCTGATTCTCATGAACCGTAATTTGTTTGATAAATTTGATTGTATATTCGTAATTAGCACGAAAAACCAATTTAAATGACATACGAGTTTACAATTTATTGTAACGGAAATTTTTAAAAAATGACTAAAGCGTTTTTAAAAAAAAACTTAAAGGACTCATTTGATAATTTAAAATGATTTAAAAATTTTGCCTAATATTAATTAATACTCCTCTTGTTATTATTATTAATAAATATTCTATATTTATATTATTTAATATTTAACATATTTGACTTCAAATTAGGGATGGCAACGGGGCGGGTTTTACTATACCCGCATCCGCACCCGCTTCCATGTAACACACCCGCCCCCGCCCCCAAACCCAATCGGGGGTAAAAATTTACCGCCCAGACCCGCCCCCAGTAGAGAACGGGTGCACCCGCACCCGCCCCGTCCCCACCCGAAAAAAATTAATTTCTTTTTAATTGTAATAAAAATTAATAATTTAATTAAAAAATTGATTATTTTAATAAATTAATTAATTAATTAATTAAAAATTTAATTAGTAAATGAATATTAATTTGATTAATTTAATTATTTTAATTGTAATAAAGGTATTAATAATTTAATTAAAATATAATTAATAAATGATTATTAAAATAAGCAAAATAAGAGAATTAAACTAAAATGCATTATTCGGGGGCGGGGCGGGTGCGGGTGTGGGCGGGTCTTAGTGTCTCCCCGCACCCGTACCCGCACCCGTAATTAAAAGTCGGGTTTTCCCCGCACCCGCATCCGCACCCACTCAAACCGGGTTTTCCCCGCTAATTTCGGGGCGGGTTCGGGCGGGCCCCGACGGGTTCGGGTTTTTTTGCCATGCCTACTTCAAATATTAATTTTGTTATTATTATTATAAATAAATATTCTATTTTTAATTGTCCAATATTTAATACATTTTATTTTAAATATCAATTGAATATATTAATTATTTAATGAATTTAAAAAATAATATTTATTTATTAAACTGATTGGAAGAGATAAAAATTTACACTCACTAGATGACTTGTAACAAGAATCAATGTGTTTATACAAGTGAGAAACTTTTATATTTTTAATATATTTCTCTTAAATAATTATATTTAAAAAATTTATTCAAATAATGATTTAATATGAATAAATGTATAAAAATTTAACATCAATTGTCTTACGCAATATTTTTTCTAAATTAGCAAGAGTCTTAAAAAAAGCGATCTATTTTAAATATTAATTTTATATAGAGTAGATATTGTTGAGTAAGTTATCGATTACTCAAAGGCCTGCAAAGGTATAATTAGGTGTAAATTCAATTAAAATTGCTCAATGTATAAAATTAGCATACGTGAGATAGTACATTTTTTTAATTTTCACTTTTCATTACATTTATTTTAGACTCTTAATTGACTTGAGCGTTGGAGCTTTAATCTTGCAAGTCACCCCGCATCATGTACAGAAGATCAACATCACTTATTCCAGATTCCTACGTCATCAATCAACACAAATTATGGTTCCGATGGAATAATGGCGCTGTATGTGGTAACTGACTCCTAATTCCTGCGAAACTCCACAGATAAACCATTCTCGATCCAAAGTCAAATCTCTACCAGAACCATCGAGAGATGGATACAATCACCTTCAACGTCACACTAAAGAGCCTTGTTAATTCTTCTGATCTCGCTACACCTCAATTATTGATCATCAATGAGATATGCACCATGGTGACATCCAACGCAGATCTATCACCTGAGCACAACATGAAGGTTGAGAAACACAAGAAAGGGGGTTGAATTGGGTTTCACATTTTGTCCCCTTTTGTGAAATTAGAAGAATAAATATAACAATGACAATAAAAATAAATGACACAATTATTTTTATCCTGGTTCACTGTTAACGAAGTTACTCCAGTCCACCCCTCAAGGTGATTTCGCCTTATCACAAGGACTTAATCCAATCATCATCAACGATTATAACCACAATAGATATCTTCCATTGTCTTCTTGAGAATCTTGGAATTCACTCACCTCTCAAGGAATCAACCTCCAAGCCGTTAAAAACGACTTGGCCATCTAAAGCATTATGGTCTTCACTCGACCACTTAAGGAATCAACCTCAAAGCCGTTAGAAATGACTTGGCCTTCTCAAGAATTCTGGTTTTCACTCGACCGCTCAAGGAATCAACCTCCAAGCCGTTAGAAACGACTTGACTCTCTCAAGCACTCTGGTCTTCACTTGACCGCTCAAGGAACAACACCTTTTACAAGGATTTTCCTGTGCGCTAATATGCTTCTTACAAGCCGATTACACATATGAAGTACATAACACCTAAGTGTTTCTAAGCAAGATATGAGAAACAACTCATTGCTTTCTAATACATAAAACTATCTAGAAAATGAATCTCTGAGAGATTACAAAACATTAGTTCTATATTTCTTAGAAGCTTTCTTGATGAGCACTATGGTTTCTTTCATGAGATTTTAGCTTCTTTTGGTTAACTACTTCTTGAGCATATAATACTTCTTCCAGTTCAACCATCAAGATCAACTAAGTTATTATGCTTCACTTATTGATGTTTCACTTGGCTAGTTTCACATGGTTTCAGCATGTTGCATCGTTGTACGCACTTCAATTGTTTGCTTCAGCTTCTTCTTCATTGAGCATTCTTCATTTAAGCTTCAGCTTATAGCATTTTCTTCAGCACTTTGGCTTTGCATAACACTGTGCTATCCTAGCAACCAGCTATTAGCAATCAGCAATTCTTCAAGCTTCTTGATCTTCAATTTATAGAGGTTGAGAGAATAGATCCGTTGAAAGGTATTCCTAGAAACATATTTCAACAGCAATATCCTAACATTCACATGAAGGAATGGTCAACATCACTGTACAAAAAGCTTAAAACCATTCTTATCTTCAGTCTTCTAGCATCTTCAGAGGCTTCAAATATTAACTTGATGAAACATGTTGTAGATGAGTCTTTCTTTGTGTAATCTTTAGAACCACGGTCTTTAGAATCTTAGATCTTCGTTCAGCAGAACATAGTCATAAAAATCTTCAGCACTTAGTTTCTTAGAAGCATTATCTTCAGAGTCTTCAAAACTTGTTCTATCATAATATCATCTTTAGAGTCTTCAGATTTCATTAAGAACACTTTTGTTCTCAGAGTCTTCAGCACTTTGTTCAATCATAACCTTGTCTTCAGAAACTCTTCAAAACTTTATCTTTATAAATGATGTCTTCAGAATCTTCAGAGCTTTGTTCACCAGAACCATGTCTTCAAAATATTCAGAGTTGTAACAATAGAAAGCACATTTCTTATAAAGCCTTCTAGGCTTGTTTATAAAGTATCAATTAGAAACCTCGTTACTAACATTCCTTAGAACCGTTGCATTAGAAGTATTTCTGAATCTTGAGTTTGTCTTGTACACATATATGTTTTCTTCCAAAGTCTTGATAATAGAGTCTGATGACATCACACGTCTTCTTACCAGATTCAGAATCATATTGACAACCGCCACACACTAGACAAAAACCATATCATATAGAATTTTTCTTTTAGATAACATGTGCAGTTATCATCAAAACTCAAAGGCCGGATGTAGAACCAAATCTTGTTCTTACAATCTCCCCCTTTTTGATGATGACAAACAATGCATTTTGATAAACAATCTGTATAGGGTAATCACCATAAGTTCACAGAGTCAGAGATAAGCTTAATAGGTTCCCCCTGATTCTGTTACTCTCAAAATTCATTTATGCTTGTTCAGAGTCTCCCCCTAATCCCAAGACTCACAAAATGATTTTGAAGTAGAATTATATCAACATAGAAGGATTACTTATCAATGATGTCTCATCATAATCTGACTAGAACTGAATGGTCTTCATCTTAAAACTAAATCTTGCTATCAGAATACTATAGACATACCAGAATCTGATTTGTCTTATCAAACTAGATGTCTTGCATTATATATCAGAAACTGGTAGATACATTCTTAGATGTCACACATCATGTATCAAAACCAAATCTTTAATATCTTATCACAGATCACCAACAAGTGCACATATCCTT